TTTCACTTCACAATTAAATGACACTGATACACTGACAGTCAGAATTAAAATTAGTTGTAGTTAAGTTTCTATTTAATTAAATAATCCTCAACGTATTATTATTAAATGAGAAAATTAACAAGGCATTCATAGTTGTTAAAGTTAAAACGTATCAAAGTTCGCTAATTTAGGAGAATTTTGCGTTGTTTAAAATATAATTAACGAGTAGAGGTAGCGATTACATTGACAGTGGAGGTAAATAAAATAACTTGTCTTTGTTGTTGAAGGATTATTTTATATAAAGAAAAATAATAATAATAAAATAAATAAGTAATCTTAAATTTAACCCAGTTACCCGTCGTACTTTCAACGCGGCTTAGGGGGTCTTGTCTTGATGTCTCTCTTTACTCGAACAAAAATTGATATTGAACTAAATGAGATTGAAATCCACAAGAAGAATAGAAAACGAGGAGCAGTGCCCGGGCGATGGAGAAGTATAAAAAGCAAGAGAAAAAGAGGATCCCGAAAAAATAAGAGGAAGAAAATGGAAAATTTCGTTAAGCAGCTTACGTTAGGAAGCAAAATCTAATAATAAATCTTTGAAGGATCTTGTTTTCTGTACTGTTATAGAAAAGCCTCTTTGGCACTAGTCCAGAGGCCAATTAAATGTTGTTCACTCGTTTCCAACTGTAATCATACATTTTTTTGCCTCGAAAAAATAAACGTATATTTATTTTAATGAAAGCCTTGTTTAATAGTAAAATTATAAAAAATTATTGTTAAGTAGAAACTGTTAATTAAGTAGGATTATGTGAAGAAAGGCTTGCAAATTTATTTTAAATGTATAATAGCTGCAAATTTTATTGAATCACGTCGTAACGCAATAAAATAATTAGTGTAATCGATTTACGGAAAATTAACGTGCCAAGTATTTTCTCATAACTGCAACGGACTTGTTTGAAAGAAAAAAAAAAGGTGATGTTATACTTTCGGCATAATAATAAAATTGATTGCTTGTGAGTCGAAAGCACACGGAGGAAATGAAACGTAAGTTTTCTTATAGCGATTAACATAAAGATTTTCTTTATGGTAATGTACGAATAATTCCAATGTTAACAGACTGAATTTATACCTTCTTACAAAGGTAAAATTAGTATTTTGACATTTTAGGGAAATATTAAAAGTAGTTACAACAAATGATATAAATAAAAAAATATAAATGATAAAAAAAAAAAATTTTTCGTTATATTTTTTTGTGACTTGAAACATTGAACCGCAGCACAAAATATATTCTATGCAATTCATAATTCTAAAATTATAAATAGTTGTGCGTCATAGTCGTAAATAAAAAAATTTCATATTCTAAAGAATAATAAATCCTGTAGGGACGTGTCTTTTGTTACGAGAATTATACAGATATGTCAGGAAAACCTCATCTTATTGTACATGAAAATTTCTATCAAAAGTGATAAAAATGATCATCTTCTGACAGAAATTTTTTCTACATGCTTGCTGAGAAAAAGTAATTCTATTAATTTACGAAATAAATAACGATTAAGTATAAGAAAATGTACATTACTTTCATTGGCTTAAAAAAAAATTATCATACTCCATAGGGAGTAATTAGGTTTTTCTGTGTTGTAAAGACATAAAAGTATAGTAAAAGTGAAAAAAAAAAGAAAATGAGAAGAAGAAGAAGAAGAAGAAGAAGAAGAAGAGTACAGGAAAGCTCCTCAAATATCCGCCTATTCAAGACTATGCCCAAGGATAATAAATGTGTTTCATTAAAAGCAACCTAGTGGGCTCCTGTACGACCTAGCAGTTACAATAATATTATAGCTTTCTCTTAGCTTCCGCCGTTGCTACCGGATGCATAATAAACACAATTTACGGTTAATGCGTGCAAAAGTATAAGCTTTAAGCCACTTGCTAATTTAACTTGCATCACCTTGTGTTACTTAAGGTTTATATTTATTTTTTATTCATTTTAGTTAGATGTTCTTGTGTGCTGAAATGCCCGTTACGAAAATTACACTTAATTGAGACACAACGTGTTGGCATTGACATCATGTTTTGCGTTATACTTCAACTCATGCATACCAAGTACTTTGAATACATTTAAGTGTTTATATTGTTGCTTTACTTGGGTTGGATTAGGTTGGCGTTCTGAGTGCAGCTTGGACTGGGATATGGACTCAAGTGAGTTGGGTTAGACTTACCAGAGGCGGATATTGTATATTTTAATAAATTGAGATATATTGCGACTTGTATGAATAATATATTCAATATCTATCACTATTTCATTTTTATTATTATTAATAATAATAATAATAATAATAATAATATTAATAAAGAAGATAAACAAAGATAGTTATTATTGTCAGCCGAGGTACCTAATCCTAACTCTTGAAGAATGAATAATTTTTTCATTATTATTTCTTCACCATAATATTTTATCGGTATAAGGTCTCATACCATCAGAGAAAATATTAGGTGAAAATACACCAATTAAAATTTATTTCTTCAATTTTTGTTAGAGAATGTGTAAAGATGTAATTTTTTACTCAGTGTAATTTTTTTCGGTAAATGAAAAAAATAATTCGGACAGCCCAGACCAGGACTCGAACCTGGATCTTTTGGTTACGCGCCAAATGCTCTACCAACGAGACCTCATACAGATAAAATATTATAGTCAAGGAATAGTAATCAAAAAATTATTTATTCTTCAAGAGTTAGGATCGGGTACCTCGAATGATAATAATAACTATCTCCGTTTATCTTTTTTATTAATTAAAAACACCAGTCTATAGAGTCATATATAAATATATTATTATTATTATTTTTCCTTTGATTGTTAATATTCTCTGTTGTATGAGTCAACAGAACTTAAAATTATTTGAGCACAAGTAGAGTGTGTTGTAGAAGAAAAAAGTCTTTGATATTTACGAAAGTAAAGATACACATTAAACAGCAAGTGAGAGTAGACCCTTTAGTTAAACCTTCGGGGTTTAGGGTCAACAATCCTTTGTACTCTTTACTCTTTGACTTATAGAATCCTTGGGGGTATGCTCGGAGAGCTAATTTTCTAAACGATTATTTATTAATTATTTTTAATTCACAAATAAGTAACTCTATTAACTCATTAATAACAAACAAATTCTAATTAATTTATCTTTATAAAAAAGCTTTTTTGTATTGGTGAAGTTTTTTTTTATCAGTAAAATTTATACAAAAGTTGATTATTGATTAAATGTTATTCGTTTAAAAAATAAAATTTATCCTAAAAATAATGTTGGATAAAAATGTTTACGTGAAAAAAAAAAAAAAAAAGTTTGTATTGTTGTTCATGAGATGAGCTTTTCTCGTCAATTATCCAAACGACAATCATGATAATCCTCTTAACAGATTGACACTATCCGTAGTCGGGTAAATTTATCACCGTTACCCTAAATCTTGACATCGAGATTTAACTTTCACTAGTTTCAGATAACTCGATAAAAATGAAAAAATAAAATTAACTAAATAAAAAAAATTTGATGAAACAATAAACTGAAAATTATGTAAAACCAACCAGTTCATTTATTTAAATGTAATAAGCTCTGAAATTAGCGGCGTAAAATCAATACAAACTTATGGGCTCATCGTAAATAATAAAATATCTGTTAAGCTCTTTTGAATATACTCTTTCGCTTCATATCATTGATTATATATTGTACATTTAAGTTTAACAGTAAGAGGATAAAAGTAAAGAGGATTTTTAATTCCGATATTTATCAATCAATGGTTGAAAAAAGTGCCAGTATAAATCAAGCTTTGCATAATGAATATTGAAAATAAGAGAAAACAGTTATAAGTATCATAATAATGATTATAATTACAAATATTATATTATATCTCTGCGATAAGATTAATAGTCAAAAGAGATAAAGATGATTATAGTAAAGCGTAAATATGAAATTAAATAAATAGTTGAATAATTATGGAATTTGGAAGGATACATCGTTCTGGTAGTCTTTAATCTTCTCATTATTTCCTGCTTACCCTTCTCATGCACATAAAGATCCTTACTTTCGCAACGCATATGAGCTTTTACCGCTAAAGAGACTGCATATCTTCACCGTAATCGTCTAAATTTAAATAAAAACATTAGCTTAACTACTTTGGCATTACTGAAATTTAATTATAATAAATGAATGGTCTTAAATAGCTGAACATGAGTGAGCTCATACATTTTATTAAATAATTAAATTCTCAGTGTTTAAATTTAAATGTCCTTTTTTTATTACAAAGCGATTTCACAACAATTATTGCACTGTTTCAATTCACGAATTTGCCTCATGCTATTGATTTATCTGTAATAATTAATATCGTAGGAAGTGTTCGACTAATACTGTAACTTTAATCGGATTTAAATTGATTTCAACATTGACATGTTAAATGTAGAAATAAATATAAAATTTATAACAGATAATTACACAATCAATTATTTAAATTAGATATTATGAGAGATAATATATTATTCTGTTAAAATTGAGTTTAATAATACATTTATTTAAAATAAACTCTGGTTTATTTTTATATACCGATAGTTTGTAAAGATGATTGTACGACATGGCCTTTCACCCTTTCACTAAGTCTCTATTTCAACTTTAACCCTCTTCTTAATTGAACTGTTGATACTTGATCCCTCCAATCCTTTACGTGATTGTTAAAATCCTCTTAAGATTTACATTTTATAAATACTATAAAAATTATCATCATTAAAAAAAAATAAATTACTAAATTATTTATATTTTTATTACCAAAAATACAAAAGGATTATATACTTATACTAATATAAAAATGATAAATTTAATTATTAGTTATGACTACATCAATTTTAATATAAAAGACTACAAACAACAACAAAATTTATTAATTGTTAACTAAAATTTAGATTTAATAAAATCAAACTAAATATCGTAAAAGATAGATTATAGATAGAGTAACTAATGGAAAAAAATAATGGTTTAAATGATGAATTATATTATTGAAATATCATCTCGAAGGGTATCTTGAGCTTCGGAGGCCGACTTGTCGAAATGAAGAAGCTTCCGATTGAGTGTTGTCTCAAGAAAATCCCATGACGGCAGTATTTCATCGCCACTGAGACCTGTTTCACTTCTCGACTGACGACTGTTCGAGTTACTCCACTTGGGCGACTCCTCCCGGCTTATCATCTCGTCAGATTTACTCTTGGTGACGAAATTCCCATCGGTGCTAATCCGGTCCCACATCGTCGATGTGCCTTTAATATTTAACCAATTCAATCCAATCGTCCGCCTAATTCTTACTGGGTAATAATTAATGCCTACATGTATATAGGTCATGCTAGTGACGTCGGTAAGCTTTTAATGTTTCTACAAGATAAATTTAAAATAATTCTAATGAAACTGTTTTAATCGATTGTATATATCATCAAAAAATTATTTTATTATTTTAGTATACTGATAGAAGGATTTCTTAGTATTTAAGATTTCTTAGTATTTAAAAAATATTTCTTAGTATTTAAGAAATGTATCTTAAATACAAAGAAACATTATAAATGGTAAGAAATATTTTTTAAATGCTAAGAAATGATTTCTTAAATACAAAGAAATCTTATTAACCAAGTCGTTGTGAAATAATATTTTTTAGCATTATTAAATTGCTAACTTTAATATCATGAAAAGGATACATTTATAAAATCGTGATATATATATCAATAAAACGCTAGCAGACTTTTATTTGCTTTCCCTTCACTCGAAATATTTTCTCGGCAAATATTCTGTCGAGGATCATTGTTCCGCGGATCAGAAATCGTGTTACCATTTTAAATCCACGTAATCGCATAATACTTTCAACATTTTATAGCTATTGTAGCTAAAATTACAAAAAGTTACAAAAGATAAAAATAAAATCCTGTAAATTTGCTACTTACTTTAGAGCTTATGGATTAAAAAATTTTTCTTTCTTTCTCAATATAAATTTTAAATTTACCTACAACCCATTGCAATACTAAAAATAAATGCTAATGAATTTTAATTAAATTTTCTCCAGAATTTCACAATCACGTTCACTAGAATATCATAACTCTGGCTCTAATCTCTGATAATAAAAATTATCGTTATACATGAAATCAATATCCTCAAATCAAATGTAAATTTACCTCTAACGGTATCCCATATCGGATTGCGAGTTCTCATCAATCTATTTTTGCCTGCTGATCGAATTGATGATGTCCAAGAGAGCGTTGAAGTTGAATCTGAAGCTGCTGTTGAAATACAATTTCTAGGTCTCAGTCCACGCGTTAATGTATCATGTATCTCCATTATTTCACGATGCAGTTGCTTTTGATGTTCATCTATTATTCCGCGCTGACGAGGACTCGGCGATAAACGTGATAATGGCCTCTCCAATAATTCACCATCCGATCTACCCATCAAAAAATTAATATAAATTTGAATTTACCTCTGTTACGAAGTTGGAATCACTAATATAATCAGCTTACTGTACGAACAATTCAGAAGCTAATGTGGAACCAAGAGCTAGCCGGTAAGGGATTCAAATCTATCGTAAATCCTGGATGGATCACACGGCTGCGAGTCGAACGGTACTGGCTAAATTAGCTACGCAATTAACGTAATTGCCGATAAGGTTGGCTTTTAATTCTACGGTAATGGTTTTAAATACATTTAATCGTTGATCGGGTTTATTTGAGCGTACTATTTATTATTTCCCGAAATGACCAAGCAATTTTGCTCGATAAGTTTTTTTATAATTTACAATATGTTTATTTTTATTTGTTTAATTTTTTTTTTTTTTATGTAAAATATCGATGTGATAAAAGTAAATTTATTTTAAAATCAAAGCGTCGTATTAACTTTTGGGATCAAAAAATAAATTTAAAGGTGTTACTGAGTAATTCGAAATATATCGAAATTACTAGCTGTATTCGAGCTGCGGTTTTGATGTGCTATATATAAATATGGAAAGAGAAATTATTGGAGTGAAAAGAAATGCCACCAAAGAGAGTTGCAATCGCACAAATTCACTCATACGTGTACTCAACATGATTGCATTGAGCTGAACATGGCGGACAAAGGGTACTCGTGCTACCCGCACCCATCAATTATTGCTCGTCAGGGGTTTCTCTACTTCATCCCACCCGGATATTAAACCATAAAGGAACCATTTTGTGACCACATTCATCTAGAAATTTTCAGACTGATTGATTAAATGTCTTAATATACGTTGATTTTTTTATCATTAAATTATTTATTGTTGCTGTAAAAAATACCTCATTTTTATGACGTTCAATAGAGCAGAAAAAAATATTAACAAAAGTGCTAAACTGCATTTAATATCATTTCAAGTTGCATCATAAAATCATTTAATGGTCGCTTGTCACCTAATCTGAGAATACGTGACATAAAATAACTATAGGTTACGTTTATTGGAAGAATTTTATTATAATTATTATTAAAAATTTTATATTAGGTATTTATTTCAAAGTATAAACTTTTTATTCCGACAGTATTTTATTGAAATAGAAATATTTTGACTAACAAATTGAAATTATTTTGACATTAATTAAATTTTCCGCTTCCTAAAAATGTCTCATATAAAGTTAATAAGTATCGATCCAATTGCGATGCAACAGTGCTTCAAATTTCTTACAACTTTAAAGTTCCCCAAGGCTTGGTCCGAGCCCTGGGCCATTTGTTTCCCAAGACTCGGCCCAAGCCTTGTGTTTTGGTTTCCCAAGGCTGGGGACATGGTTATCATCCAAGGCCCAATCCTTGGCCCAATGCTCAGCCAAGGCACGTGCCAAGCCTTGTATAATCCTAGAGACGCTTGGCCAAGGCTTGGTCCAAACCTTTCCCAGTTGTTCTTTCCTACCTGGGAAGATGTTATTATTAAGGTATCACGGGTCGGTTAATTTAAAGTGAGTATTTATTAGAAAAAATTGACAGAGTTAAAGGACAGAGGTCTGTCGTACATCGAAGTTAAGTAGGAACTGCCTTTTCGAGTCCCATACAATTAGATCTTACTTACTACCTGGGTTTCTCACCCCCGCATCAGTCATACTTCGTTCTTACACTCTCGGTACTTATAATGTACATTTTTGCCACGAGACAAATCTATACTTACGTTCCCACGCATACAAATATTTTCTAAACTATCTTAACTAAACATCTGTTATTTGGGAATTTTTCTTAATCCCTTTATTTACAACCTTTTCGAAAAAATACTTACTGCTAAGTCTAAAGGTGCAATAAAACAATAAAATAGAGAAACTTAAATCTAAAAATGACCATTCCACATTTATATCACCGAGTATACGCCAGTAATTTTTTTGCATCAACTCAAACGCTACTTCCTGTCAATATATAATCGCGAAATATTCTACCGCAGTGAGTGGGATCGCAAATTGTAAAGAGGACGTTGTAATTATAAAATGTGAAAAGTCAAGCATTTCACTAAAAGATGTTAGTGTAAATTTTGATTAAAAATAAATAATAGAATAAATAATTAAAAAAAAAATCAGTAATGCTTCCATACTCTATAGATTGGTAACTCTAAAAAATAATTGCAGGCATTTCTGTAATTCTTTTTTAATGAATAACTCGATGATTAAAAGTTAAATACAAAAATAATTGCAGCCATTTCTGTAATGCTTTTTTAATGAATAACTCGATGATCAAAAGTACCTCTCAACATAATTTTAATTATTTCACCTTTTGGAGAAAAAATTTTTGAGGATAAAAAAAAATGCTATTTACATAAATCTAGTTTTATGTAAGCACCTATAAGTCACAAATTTTCAAATAAGGTATAAATTACCTAGGCGTATATGTTTGCTTCGGACCGTTTGAACCACTCAGATCCGGACAGCTAGTTCTTCGGAAACGTCGGGACGCTTCCCTAGAAACCTTTTGAACTGCATCCAGCATCGCTACTCTCTCGTCATGAGGTAATACCGCGGCAGCTTCTTGAAGTATCTACCCACAAAATAAAATATATTATACAGAAAAAAAACAATCACGATTCAATCATTTAAAAGCCAAAAAAATATTTCAATCAAATTTATTGAAAAATAAATCAAAACAGCTGACTAAAAAAAATTTAATTAAATAATGTGTTTCCATTAAAGGAAAAAAAAATTGTTACATTTTTTTACGACACTCGAGTTTAACGACGAGATATTTTTTCATCGTAAGATTTAACGAGTATTCACGTTAAAGAGTTCGTTAACCTATTTTATTCATTGGTTGAATAAATTTCTATGATATTTTACAACCTTTATCTTTATCATTTTTTTGTACATCTCCGATACATTATTAATTCAATGGATATGTATGAACCCCAGTTTATATGTATGACGAAAGCGAAACCACCGATATTTTCAATTATCGGTTTTAAAATCTATAAACAGATGAAAATAACCATTTATACAATAATTAACTTCATAATATATTTTGCGATAGTACACAAAGAGATTGGCAATTATTGGAAAATTAATTTAAATTTTGGGTATCTAGAATTACGAAAATCAAATTGCTATTGGAATTCAATAAAATATCGCATTAATATGCAGACTCTTTTGTTTGTTTTTTTTTTTTTAAATGAAATACAACATTGTGACGGACTTTTTTAAGAATTAAAATAAGATAATCTTGACTAATGATCGTAAAAAAAAGTATTTAGATTAAAATGACATTTTTGTGGTGTTAAAATAGAAGAATTTTCTAAAGGATACGAGTATCTAGTGAATAGCCCGCTGCTAGAAGCTCGTAACCGGAAATTACTGAAAATACACTAGTCAATTTAGTTATAAAGCTTTGAGAACATAAACCGCTGGCGTTATTGAGTCTTTTCACTTGATTCCCCCTATCAAATCGATTATTCTGCAGCGGATTTAATATCATCAAGTTTACTAGACATTTATGACGATACAAATGCTTTTGATCTATTACATGATCTGCAATAGAACTTGATAGAAACTTAATAAATATTTCTATTCGAGTAACTACAGTATAAATTTCTGCTTTTGACATTTACAGGTTCAAAACGTCACTTCGAATAAAACACTTCTTACAAACTTCATTTTCAATCTTTTCAGATTTTCCATGGCATTCAATTCCGTTAAGAGCTCCATCGTTTAGATAGAATCAACACCGATTTAAAAATTGAAGCTGAAAATTGAAAAAACCTAACTACGAAGCTTTTCTGTCATTGTTCGGTGATTTTTCACAGAAATTAATTTCATTACAGCTCCCAGCAATTAATAACAGCCGGCTAAAAAAAATTACAAAACTTTTTTTTTTATTTCATTTTTTAATCAATCAAAAAATATTACATTTTATTATTTTTCATGCAGCTCGCATGTTCGGAAACAGAAGAATAAAGTCAACAAAAATTGAATCAATAAAAAATATATATTAATTTACGAGAAATAAAATATCAATAAATATCTCGAATAAAAGCATCAATTTTGTAAAATCAACATCCATATTCAATTTAAAAAAAGTCGTTATATTTTTTTTTGTTCAAGCACATAAATAAATTAAATATTTTTTACAAAAGTAAATAACTGTTAAAATAACATAGAATGAATCGTAAATTATTAAAACTATAATACATATGTATATATAGCAAATAAATATTTGATCAGACCCCAGAAGATGATGTTACAAGATTAATCTATCGAAGTAAAACTTTATTGAGTAGATAACTCAGCCGGGGAATCTCAGTGTTATCTATCCTGGGCAGATAGCTCCTAGATCTCCTTAATTTAGCTCTTTATTCTTATCACTTATCAGTAACTTAATCATAATTTCGTTATTCATCTTTCACTTCCCTCCAGTTAAATTCATAGAAGAAGTTGGCTAGTGAGGTCGGCGAGGTTCAGCTCCTTTTACCGAGCGTCCACGGATGCCGAGCACGTTGCCGTCTAAACTCTAAACTACCCCACTCCAGAGAATGTAATTGTGATTCCCGAGTTTCTCAAGTCGCTTTACACTGACCCTGTGGGAGCTCCCACTACATACTAGAGCCGGGAACCTGTGTATAGCAGAGTGCTAACCCTCTTCTTCAGTTAGACTGTTTTCATGGAAAGTTTATCGTGCCTTCAGCGCTGAATCCGAATCTCTAAATAAACCAGAGAAAAGGTCGGATCCTTTCTACGGATTTTCATCCACCTTTTTTTATGCCCATTTAACCGCTCTAAATTCTCTCTATGTACATATATACTTACGCTTTGTACGCCAGAAAACTATATACATGTATAGATGTTTATACACTATTATTCACGTAGACATCATATTTTCATTTCACGTATAACTCCTTCACGAATCGTTTACTTTATAAAGTACACATACACTTTACTATATCAATTTTTCCCTTTCATTTTTTATTGCTATACACCGGGTGCAGAAAAATAAATCAAATTAAATTAATAAAATAGACCACCGACAACACTATACTATTGCACTGGGTGTTTATGTTTTATAAACCGATTTCACGGGTTCATGTTTGCGATATACTACCCCAAGCTTTGAAGACTTGTTGACAGCTATTGGCAAACGGTAGTCATGTGCTTTAACTACCCTATCAAGGTGTCAAACTAGGTTCTGTTTCAAATGCGTACACTGCAATGAACTACTGAACTGTTCGCTATGATCACTTATAAATTTTCCCATATATTCACTTTGATATTGATATGTGAAAACATACACTGCAACTGTGCTCTCAAAAACCCATTTTTAAATCAAATTTGATTTTTTTCAAGTACTTCATGTGTGATTTCTGGTAAAATAATAAAATCCCGTTTGAATCCGAAAGTAATTCAACCCTTTTGTGATAGAAAATTGAAAAATGATCAAATAAAACAGTTCTTTGAACTGTTTTAATTATTAAATTTTGTTGCGTGAAAACTATTTATCAGGTAGTACAAAAAATTTATTAAAATTTTGATATTGTTAGCCTACTAAATTTTGTAATTTTCTAATTGCTTTTTTTTTCAATTACTTTTTAAAATGAAAATATGTCAATAAAATTATCGCAAAAAAAAAATAAAGTACACAATAATAACTGCATAAAACAAACATTTTCAAACTTTCTTCATTTTTGTTAGATAGATGAAAGGTTATACCTATAAACTACATTCTCTGAAAATTTTAGCTCTCGAGTTATACAGTATTTATGGTATGTTATGAAGTAATGTAACGGCAGCATTTGAAGTATCCGCAAAAATAAACTTACAAAAGTAATAAAAAAAAAATAAAAATAATTTTTTGTTTTCAAATCGTGTAGTTCTTGCAATTGTGAGGCATTGCTAGTAATAAAAATAAAATATAAATAAATAAATGAAATAAGTAAACAGAGCAAAGAAATGAAATTTTTTAGTTTTATGTTTTCTTTGGTTTAACCTTTTACGCGGTTTCGTGCGGTTTTTATGTAATCCGATTGTAACAATGGTTGTTTGCTAACAAACAAATTATATTGACTTACATTTTGTACTGTTATTATTATTATCGTCATTACTATTTACATAATAACAATAATAAATATGATATTTCCCGTATTACGACTTTGACCCAGTTTCGTTTTTATGGAACTGATATTGAATATAATGCTTGTAATACAATGAAAAAAATTTTTTACAATATTTTTTGTACTTATCAAATAACAAATAAATTTCTTAAATTATTAAACTCATAATTTTGTTGTTCGCAAAAAGCTGGATTAATTCTTTTTTATGATAATCAGACAAATCTGCTCGTAAAATAAATGCAACAATCGGTTATATAATAAGACACTCGTGTAATATAAATAAAATGATAACAAGAGTTCAAAGTATTGAATATCTAAAGAAAGCTACTATGCTTTTTTTTATATATTATATGGTTTTATTCATAAAGTAACGAGCAACGTGATCGGTCCTGAAAATACTGTGGATCTTGTTACCTTAATAAAATAATAATAATGTCTTTATGATTAAGCGTAAGTCATTCTATTCTTCACGATAGAAATGGGTATTTGATATTATCGTTGTTATTGGCGGATTTTGTGAGCTATATCAAATAGAAATCTCTGTTAACGAAAGAAAAGCCAATTATTTTTCCAATATGTTGCACAATAGTTGCTGTCGGTCAAACAAATTATAGCTCTTGTATAATAGATTTTATTTTTTTTTATGTCCCAATCAAAAATATTTTTATGTAAACTTATTTCTTAACTCAAAACTTAACGAAGAAAATAAAAAATATTTTATTAATTTATTCACCACTTAAAATTTTTATCTTGATAAAAAAAAGTTTTCAATGTTTGAATAAAAAATTTCGTTAAAAGCTCACCAAAAAAAAGGTAAATAAACAATAATTACAATTCAAACATTCAGAAGAGTTGTGAAATTGAATTAGTTTCTTTATATAAACAATCAAGTACACAACAGCGAGGTAGTTAGATCGACAAATAACTTAAACTTTTCCACGCCAGTATAGATTACTAGCGCAAGAGTATACAAGAGTTAGCAGTATCCCCAGTATACCATACCAGCTTCCCCTGGTTCTAACTCCGCAAACGGGCAAACTTGTTCAACGCTTTTACAAAATACTCTTCCGTCTGCCTCTAACCAGAAGGTTTTTTTTCATCTTCAGCAGAGCAGCTATTTCTTTCTCCGACCTTTAATCCTTCTGTGCCTTTTAATCCTTCGGGCAGAAAACGTTCACTAGTAACTCACAAAATCGGTTTAGTCTTCTCAAGATTTTCTTCTTTACGTGGTAAAAATAACAGCAGTGCCTGCAGTTGTAATCGTAAGAGAGTACAAGTCCATTTAAAACTTACGAGGCCATTGGGAATTCTTATCGAACTATCCATCAGCCTCTGGGGCCTTTACTTTATTCCCAGAGTAGAGAATACTCCTCATAATATTAACTCTGCCGCATAATAAGTAGTAAGTAACTTTACCTCGTATTCTTTAAATATAAGGTCCTATTCGTGGACTAAATTTTAAGGGTGAATTATATTGACCTATTTTAAATTCAAGATAATAACTTTTAAATATTTACCCTTTTAATTTATTTTAATGTTTTAGTTTTATGTTTTTACCCATTTAATTACTTGAGTTAGCATTTCTAGAGCTTCTCGTACTGAAGTTTGTTTGAACATACGGTTTACAAAATGTGATTCTCATTCTATACGTGTGTAGATATAAATGTTGAGAGCTCAAATTCAACGTGAATGCAATTATTTTTGTAAATGGTAAAAGATCAAGAGAACAAAACCGCAAGTGGAAATTTAGTATCACCGTGTGAATAAACTTTGCCACTTAATTATAAAAATCAGCTTAGTGCTTCTAAGTATCATTTCATATTGCATCATACATAAAGGGGAAATAATATTTATGTAATGTATGTTTACATAACTACAGGTAAAGAGGAAAGTATTTTAAATGTAATTCCCGCGAGTAATTTAAAGAAAAATAAGCAAAAAATTTTTTTTGATCATTAAAAATTAATGATAACTTTTTTAAGATGTATATTGATGTCGACATACTTACCCGGAATTTATTGAGAGTTACCAATGCTGGTATTAATCCTCCAGGGCCTCGTTGTCGCCCCCGTCGACGATTTATCGACACGACGTACGTCAAGGGACTCGAGTCTCGCAGATCAACATAACTAGCGTATCCTATAAAAAATAAAAGAAATAAATAAATTTAATGTGATGTTATTAAATTATGACTGTATTGATATCAAGTAAGTTAGAGAATTTAATTATCGAGACAGGAAATGTTAAACAGATTTCAGCGCAGTAATCCTTGAGAGTACCGTCGTAAAATAAACACCTGCGTGGCGAGAGTTTAATAGTTTGATATAATACAGTATGAAGATTTTCGAAGAAAAATGGGTGAGCCAATTTATGTTTACGGAGGTCTATGTGAATGGACATAAAGTGAGACATTAAGGTGACATCGACAAGGACGCGAAAGTAGCAGCAGAGAGCAGAGAATCCGCCAGCCGAGATTTACTTTCGCTCACTTGCGTCCTGGTAGTCTTTGGTACCTGATTTTAATTAATTCACCAACTCTACAAAGTTTATCGTTCGTTGAAAGTTTGCTCTTCAGCACCAGTAGTAAGAAAGGACGAGTCGCCAATTACATGGCTCAGCGGAGGGTGTGAATGGCACGACAGGACAATCTGAGAATTCCATTTTACGTATATATTATGTGTGCACATCTACGCTACTTTCCAACTAGTTGAGCGTGTTATAAAAAGCTTTTATATACATCATATATTGACGTATTATTCAACTCAACATCTATTTTACGGCAATTCACACTCCTAATTAAATTTTTAAATTTAATCATTTTTTTTACATTGATTTTGATTCAAGAGAATTTTATTTTAAAAATTCTTGGACTAAGAAATTTTTTCTAAGATGAAATTAATTTTATTTGGCCCAATAATTTTTTTCCTCGATTCAAGATAATGAAATTTTTTTCAATTTTTTTTTTTTTTTTGGTTCAGCATTTGGTCTCTTTAATCTGTTGATTTTTTATTCAATTTTTAATTAATAAATCTCAGTTTTATTTATAATTTATTAAAAAATTTTTCCATCACAAACGTTATAAAAAAAAATTATAATTCATAAACTGCAACTATTTAAATTGAATTTTAAAACAGAAAACAGAATACTAGTGTATTAATTTAAATCGAGTTGAATTTAATTAAAAATTTTAAATCGACATACCTACAGTTAATTCAAGTATTAATAATAAAATTTTAAATTAACTGCATAAAACGCCAACAAACGTGAAGCATCAATGAAATATAAAAAAGTTTTATACTACAATAAATTCCAATTGAAACTGACCTTTATCAGTTTGATCAAGGTGAGTCTGCTGAACCTTAGGTAAAAAATCAGTAGCAGTAATCATAGTGGTCCTAGCAATAGTTGCCCTTCTGGTAATATTACCAATATTCCGAGCTTTGCTCCAACTCGAAAAAGCACTCAGTCCACGATTGTTGGTGAATGTTAGACTGTACTTGATAACTCGGTCAGGTGTAATGAATAGCAGTCTTAAACCGTGTTCTGGAGAGCGTTCAATCATGTTGATCGTCTGTTCAGCCCAAGTCCAGCCTTTGGATAGCGATTCAACAATACCAGCGGCCGGTGATGTCTCTTGAGTTGTTACTAGTTTACAGAAGAGAGACAGTGATCGCATTTCAGTATTGTAAATGTCTTGTCGCTTGCGCCAGGACTGCACTTGCCAGGCATTCTCGTGAGACGAGTTGAAGAGATTGCCCAGATATGGTCGCAGAATATGCCCCAGGACTTTCTTGTCGTATTCCATTCCTATAACGAGATATACACCAATTTAACCAACAACTCCCATTTCATCTACTCAAATTTATAATTATTTCAATTGTTAAAGAGACGTTTGTAAACTATTGCCAGTGTACAGTACTACTACTACTACTACTACTACTACTACTACTTGCCATTGCAATTGCTAGTGCTATTGAAACTACTTCAATTAACCAGAGAAATTCATTACCAAAGTACAGCCATCTCAAGAGACTCTTTGACATTATTACGTCGTTCTCCAGATCGGTGTACGCTGTTTCGCGATCACGACGAACAATGTCAATTAATATGTCAACCGAATGCTCGAAATAATTGTACGTTGTGTGATACTGCTTCTTCGATCTTGACGATACGTATGACTTTTTATGACTGTGTTCAAAATTCTTATGGCGATCCATTATCGCGTAAATTTGGTCTCTGGCTTGTTTCAGCACCAGTGTCAAAAGATAAACTAAATTTTCAGTGGGGCTTGATCGTGCGTCTGACGATAACGACAAATTTAAAAATGAACACTCGCTCAACAGATTCTATTAAATAATGAAATAATAATAATTAGAAAAATTATCAGCCATATAAATTTGAATGTGAAAAAGTAATTAGAGTTAAACCTGCATTACAAGTTCCTTTACTTTAAGAACTTGTTTTATAACAATTCCTAAGTACATCAATTGTCGGGTACTGTAACCGTAGTGCCCTCCCATGGTGCCACGCGGCAAAGAGGCCATTACTTGGCGCCAGCGCACAATCAGTTCACTCTCAAGGATGTCACTTGGTCGAGGATCTACTGAAGTCAAGTTCAATGAGTACTGGTGAAGGGTAAGTAGATACAATTCCAAAAGACGAGCATCTGAGACGTAAGAATCTTCGTGGTGAAGAATTCCTCCTTGACACACAAAAATTTATATTTTTAAAACTATTTTATTACTTTCAATTTTTTTTTTTTTTTTTTATCTCTATCACGTTATTTTCATGTTTTTGGTTGACTAATTTGGATTATTCCCAAAAGAAATTTTTTAGTTGCTAAAAAAAATAAATAATGTAATTAAATAAACTCTTTTATCGTAAAACTTGGCAAAAATTTTTTGTGTAACTTGTTCTGTAATAAATAACCGATAAACTGGTGCATGAATTTTCAATCACACTGATAAATCTTTAAAGCAAAAACGTGCAAAATGGACTTTTAGTTCTTTTGTAAGCGCGTTATCTTTTGTAACTACCGACCGCACAAGATCGTGATAGAATAAACATTTCGCGGTACTTGACCATACTTACTACTTTTTTCGTTTTATTATCTCACCCATTATTCAAACCACCTTGAATAATGTAACAAAGCGAGCGCGGCTATGATACATTATAAATTTAAACATATAGAGACTCATTTTCAGTATAAATTATTTATTTATGCACTTGTATTATTTAAAAAGTTGTTCTTTCTTTCTGATAATTTTTTCAGCTCAGAGAAGGGAAAAAGCTAAAGCAGATGACACTCCAGGAATATATTTTATTTCTGAGAAAAGTCTATGTACCTCAACTAAAATATGGTCTAGTCTATCCTCATCCACTCACTGACGACTTATCACTTACACGCCATGAGAAGACGTAAGAAGACGTAAGATTTCCATTCATTGAAACATTATGCAGGATTTCTTTTCCGAGAATGCCATGCAAATGCATTTAAAGATCTGATGTAATGTAAAGGAGCTTCCATTTTTGTATACATTACTGTGAAAATTAAAGCAAAAAATTTCTTTAGATTTTTTATAAGTTTATTAAAGAATTTTTTATCATTCTTAAATCATAATACGAGATTAAATTTTTTATTAAAATTAAGACTCAATTTTAATGTAAAGTATTTAAAAAAATTTACAATAAAACTTTTGGTATGTTTTATTCAATTGAACTGTAAACAGACGTATTTTCTCTGACGATTAAGTTAATAAACGACTCTTGAGGAGTTTTCATACACACACCATCAACCGAGGACGCGGCATCCAAGTGGAATCCCATCAATAATAATTTCCACACGACCGATTAATTTAATTTACCCACAGCGTCGATTATATCTCTTAAATTTTAAATTCTAAAATTCTTTATTATACACAAAACAAATAAACTAAATTTAAAAATAATTAATTATAAATATGCGAATAATAAAAAATGATAATTAGTCCGTGGTTTTCATTATATTAAAATAGTTTGACAAAGAAAAAATTTGAGTAGTCTAATTAATTTAAATTACCAGTACTTTGTTTGCTTTTTTACCGGATTTTTATTGAAACATAAAGCTCGAGATTTTAAGAGAAATAATTAACTCACTAGAACTACTCGGGGATTTTATAAATAAAATGGAACATCAAGCAGCGTAACAACAGAATAACAAAAGTTATGTCATTTATACAAAAATTTTAATTAGCATTTTCCATCTAAGGGCTGCAGAAGACGCCAAGTTTCATGAAACACTCAACAAGACATCTTGCACAAGCACATATTTTTTTTTATAAAGGATCTTTAACTATACATCAATGAAAAGTCAACACCTTCGTGCGTGCATGTGATATTGACGTTGTAATTATGATCATGTCACCGTTGTATGTGAGTACAAACATTATTGTCAGGGGAGAAACTTGATAATTAACGACGACGGATAATTTTCCGAGGTGATATTGCACACACTATCTACCACAAAATCTAGAGCTTAAAGCACTCTGTCTGTCGTACATATTAATATACATTATATGCAAAATAAAGTTGCTCAATAATTTAGTATAATTTGTACACGATACCCTCAAGAATATTATTCGAAGCCGTCAGTCTGGTGAACGTGACGGAAAGTTTGTTATCAAACTAACTGTAATACAAGCTCAGGTGTTATTAGACTCGAGATTAATTTTCTTTACTGAGTAATAATATAAAATTAGAAGAAAACTCGATAAATAAACATAATTGGAAGTTGCCTGCAAAAATTTTGTGCATCCGGTTCTCTAAGTGTGAAGCTAACTAACAAGGATGAGATTTCAGGCGTTATTCAAACAATTTCCTTGTATTCATCACAATAACATTAGTTTTTTTCGTTTTCGTACGCCGACTGATGGGGCTCAAAGTCGGTTAACAGGATTCAGTTATCCGTTTTTTTCATCTATCATTATCACTGTTGGTTTGTTTTGAAAAATATAAAAAAAATTGAATAAAAGGAATTTGCTTTTTTTTCAGAAAGCATTTCATAAACCACGTAGAAAAGCAGCTTGCAATATTCTACCACCAATATTGCGTTCGCACCAGCGGATACATCGTGTTGTAGTCTAGTCTAGTTTTCACTATCTTTTTGGGGCAATATAAAGCACTGGAAATAGTAGAAGAGCATGGAAGTGTGAGGTACAGTTAAAAGCTGCGACGAATAATGGTTTAAAATTTTTTTTTTTTATACTCTAAGGAATTCTTCTGTATACATATTGGATATAGATCTTAGATATTGTCAAAAAATTCGCTGATTTTTTTTTAAATATCGTAAAAAGTATAAAATATAGATTTAGTCAAAATTTGAGCTTTTAATATTAATTTTCATAAGCTTATTGAAACCATTTTTTTTGATGCTCGAATCGAAAACCAATAAATGTCATTGACTAGTTGTTAAAATTGTTATCGTTGTCTATTTATTTTGAGCTTTTATTATCTTTTGTGACAATTTAATTTTTTTTAATTTTTAGAGTAATATTTACTTTAAAAATATTGTGTGATGAGTGTAAGATAAAATATTTAATTAAAATTTGTTGTATAATTATCGACATTAAAATTTCTGTAAAAATGAAGCTTGTTTTTCTCTATAATTTAATTTATCTACACCTCAACATTTATAATGTTTTGTTATGGTTATAACATAAATGCAACATTTTTCTACGTGATAGAAATAAATAAAAATACATACCATAAACGAGACGTACCTTTGGCACACTGCAGCATCACGTTGCAACGGGGATGAAAGTAACACCGCAAGCTCTGACACCTGAGGGCGGTGACCAATTCGTCGAGTGCCAGTAAAACGTGACGTGAGAGACTATCGGGAGACCAACTCCTCAGAGGGTCTGGTCCTGCTCTCTCCAGTGACCACCAGTGTATCGTTCGTACAATGTGACGTGATACGACTCTCAGTATGTCCTAATTCATTCAAGAAATTAATATCCAATGCCTGCATCTGATCATATTTTATAATTAATTATAACACATATTTTAATTTCATTAATTTTTAATTAAAAGTTGTTGGTAAATTTAATACCTCAAAGTTTTGTGTAATTTCAATTATTTATAATAATAATAATATTGTTAATATTAATTACGCTTGTTACAATGTTCTACGTATGACGTACTTGAGCTCAAATATTTAACTGTAAAATTCGCTACTAATTACTGATATTTTCATTTCATGTATGTTCATGTGGTGAAAAGTTAATTTTAAATGTAGTTTTGGAAAAAAAAATTAATTTGATTCAAAAAAATAGATTTTAAAAAATTTGATTATTTTTTATTAAACAGAAAAATTCTAAAACTAATAGGTAAATTTTTGTTGGATCAAAATTTTTTCTCTTGTGTCAATAATGAAAATTCAAATAAAAATAAAACTAATAATTTTTAATAAACGTATGCTCAATAAATATATCCAGTTGGTAAATATTTAGCTTTGGTGTTATAAATAATTAAATAACCCTAAAATACGATGAATATAAACTACAAAGACAACTATCACGATAAACAGTATAAACATTTCCTATTTCAAAGTTTGATTATCTCACAAGCTTTGTCTCCAGTTGTCAATAGAAAAGAGAAATTTTATACGCCGTATAAAGTTGTAGATGAAGTTTAAACTAGATAACGGAAATAGAACAAAACGGAAAACGAGCAGTAGTAGTAATGGTGGTAGTAGCAGCAGTAGAGTATAGGAATCCAAAAGAGGTAGCGGGATAAAGAAACAGATATTGAAGAAAATAAGACAGAGTGACACACAGGAAGCTGGTGAGGAAGTTTTGCGCGAAAGTCCCACGAAAACGCTGTCGAAAACTTATCCCCCGACAGTCATGTTTTCCGAAACGAGGTTTCTATGAGCTGTGCGATTGCGCCAGATCTTTGATCTTGCAAAAGATCAGCTTCAAGTTTGCACCAAAAGTTGGCTCTTTGCACTGACAGAAAGTAAAAGCTCCGCCAACGGGTGTCAGTTTCCCTTTATTCCTGTTCTCTCTTTCTTTCTTTCAAGTTCTTTCTCTCTCTGGTTCAATGGATTAGTAAACACAAAGACAATCACTTATCAAACGGAATTCTTCTTCGCAGTATTAATGTAGAACTCAACTTGTTCCTCAATCTTTGTACCAAAGACAGAGACTAGACAGTCTTTAGTCTTTATTAATTAAACTCGGCCTGAGTAGTTATTTTGCTCACAATAATGATAATAATAATAAAAAAAAAAAAAAAAAAAAAAAAAAAAAAACAGTTATTTGAGAATTATGTTGATAAGCTTGGGAATAAATCATGAATAGCTGTGCTATAAATTTAAATAAACTACTTACATGGTATCGTACGGTCACAAAAAAGTGAAGCAACCTTTTGACCTACAAACGTTTTTTCCTTTCACACTTTTAAGATTAATGTAAACAGAAGGGATTTTCCCGTGGCATTTAAAACTGGTAAAGAAACCGGAAAAAAGTTACATACGACTTACATGCATAAAAAAATATGAATATCATTCTTTACTCGGTGGCTGAATATCGTAACCTCAACTCTTATTTTTCGAGCTTTTTATTTTTCATAAGTACTTTGTGCAAACTCACGCGGAAAAAGTCTTATCTCTCGAACGGTTTATCTCCAAAACTGTAAGGCAAAACTAAATTGAATCTACAACTTGTCACATTTCTCCGGAGACGTTGGTTACATCCAACATTCATAAGCGAATTGGTAGAAGGCATGCCTCGAAAGTCACCTGGGATAGCGTTGGCTCATTGTTTATTCGTCTCCGATAATTCGGTACCGACCTGATTCACCGACGGAATCTTAAATCAATTCAACTTTTCTCATTATTGCATGTTTTTTTTTTTTTTTTTTTTTTTTTTTTTTATTTAATTTTCGTTTCTCTTCTCTTGTTTTTAGTTTTAGTTTTCGCTAAAGCTTTTCAACATCAAAAGTTTTCATGGTTGAGAATAGTTTAAGAAAAAATTTGCTAATTAATTACCGGAACGCGGAGAATTTATAAAAAAGGTGCGATATTACTCTGAAAGAACTTGTATTTACATAATTATACCTGGAAAATTTTTTTTCGGTTAAGGAAAAATTTAATAAAGCCAGAGACGTTATAATTAAAGTACTCGCGGTGGTTTTCCTAGGACTCAATGAAATGAAAGCAAAGTTAATGCGTCGAAAGTTGGCTGAAAAACGACAATGTGATTTTGTCATTATGTAGCAAATACACAAATGTAACTGCGATGAAAATGCGACGTGTTAAAAGTCGGTTGTAAAGCTACGTTATTAAAAAGAAAAAAATTTCTTGAGTCACAAAAAATGAAGGGAGAAAATGAACCCTTACTTTGGTAAAAAATTTTCCAACAACTCTTACTCCATATTTTTTTTTCTTTTCTTACGGCCCCGCAACAACCCATGAAAAAGTTTCCTCTCGTTTGAACGTCACGCGATATAAAAGTGATTTAAAAGAAATAAACTATGAAGTTACAAGTTATAATAAAAGTAGAAATAAGAAGTAAAAATAAAGTCACAATACTTTTTGTTTGATGGATAAATTCAATGGTAATCTCCCACGTAGTTGATCTACTATGTGCATGAGTACAGACTCCGTCAGGGCTGGTACACTTTCGTCTGAATAATGCTGACTCATGATTGTCTCGGCAGCTGGAGCACGGAGACGCCAGAGTGTTGCACGATCGTCACACCGAGCACTCGGATAAGGACCTACTGCTACTGCGTACATCCCCTGTTAAATATATTTATAATGATATATATGCAAATAAAACAAATTAAGGTGATTATAACCAACACTTGAAATGATACACTTATTATGGAAATTAAAATTACTAAATCTCGGAGCGATTATACCGCCGGGGCCATTTCGCCTGAGTCAACATCTTGATGTACATTTTAATTTAATTATATTATATACACGTTGCTGGCATTGCATTCTTCCTGGATAATTTTAATTTAAAGTGAGAATTTTTTTAATTGTCTGTTAATATCTATACTGTTTTTATTTTTGACTAAATTCGTTGGATTATTAATTTTGGTTTGAGATCTTGAATAATTTTTTCGGAAAAATCCGGGGTAATAAGGGCAAGTATGAAAAATATCCAATTAAATCGAAAATTTTTCATGTTGATAATTATTTAAGTAAATTTTTTTTTAATATTAAAAAAAATGGTAACTTGAATACCAAAAATAAATAAAAGTAAAATTAAACATTTTAAATCTTATTTTATTACAGCTGGATTATTTTGGCCTTTTTTGAAATATATAAATTGCGTTTTGGCTTGGCAGAACCAAAAGGGCGTGTGAAAAAATTTTTTTTTCTTCAATTTACTAGGGAATGTATAAAAGTAAAAATTTAGTTGAAAAGTGCAAAAAAAATTTTTTTTTCGACGTACGCTCTTTTGACTTTAAGAAAAAAAATTTTTTAAACCCAAAAGAGCATGTATGAAAAAATAGTCAAAGTAGATTCTATAAGAACCTTCAGCCGTCGAGATCTAATAAAAAAATTTTTTTTCTTAAAGCCAAAAGGGCGTATAGTTTGAGGTACGCTCTTTTGGCATTAGTACGCGATATAGTGTAAGTATTTTTAATATTTAAGATCAATAATAAAAGTATAATTTCATTATTTAAGTAAGTGCTGAACTCGTATATAGGCCTTATATTACCTTTGGGCACTTCAAATATTTTAATTTTGTTTTTTTTTTATAATAAAAATTACAATTTTTGTTTGTATTTTATATTAATTATCCTTACGTAAATATTACTATCAATATTTTTCTTTAAATTTCATATATTTCCACCCGCAGGTACGTTATTTATTAAAAGTCGTTTAATTTGTAAAACTTAACAACCTAATTAAATTATTTTTTACACTCTATTAATGAAAATTTACTTTTACGCAAAAATACCCCTTTACTCATTAACTCATACCAGTCTTTAAATTAAAACCAACAAAGTTAACTTCATCAAAAAAGAATATTTTAATTACCTAATAATAATCAATTTTCTGAGCGTCTACCTCTTAAAATTTTCCAGTAGACTAACCCTCACCACACGGCATGTCTAATAACATCGCGAACAAATTTATATTAGGTACTTAATATTAATGAACAGATATTGACATTCCCTCAGCGTCAGTGAATATATACACTAAACATCAGAAGAAATATATAAATCATTCCAGACAGTCCGCAATCGATTGCTAATTAACTACGAGCAGTATGCGAGGTTAGTTAAATAATCACTCTAGCAAATGTCACGTGTATCGCGTGTACGTGATGAATAATATTTACCCTATGTACATCCCTCACCCAGACGTATAACATAAACATAAATTTAGCTAGATAAATAAATAAACAAACAAATAAACTTACACTTTGAGCGGCAGTGTAATGAAGCAGAGCGTCACAATGGTACAATGGAACCCGACCTGGATAATCAGCTAGCGATGACCACAGAGATACGCCAACACCAATAATTAGTCTTACTTCAACATCACGTATTTTATGGCCGTTCAAACTTATGCGTATGAGTATTCCAGTAGCATCTTCCACCAGCACTATACGATGATCTCGCGGCAATGGCAGCTCTTTTTCCTCAGCGGCTGAAAGGATGAAATTACCATGAGAAAGAGTCATGCCACGGAATTGTTGGCTGCTGAATAAAAATAAGGGATTACTCAAAAACCGTCATATGAGAAAATGGTTATTGTATTTAAATGAAAATATTTTATACGCTGGATATAAAAAAAAAATAAAAATAGATTTTTACAAAAATGGATTTCCATATTCAACTTTTTTGTTTGAGATTTAAATTGTTATTATATAAATTTTATTTGTTAGAAATCAAAGGGCAAATCGAGTCAAATATAAATTAAAAAAAAAATATATTTAAATAATTAATTTATATCCTCCTAAATTGTTTCTTAACTTTTTTTTATTTCTCTCCCCGGCGACATAACACCTTGTTTTTTTGTATTCAACTTTTTTATTAACACCTCTTGTACTTTAGCAGTAGCAATATATCATCCTTGTGCAGTTATACAATCTATACCTATATTCTAAGTATAAACGGAACGATTGTCGGAGTGTTAGTAGAGCAAACGCCAAGTCACGCGAGTAATTCAATACAAGCGGTGTCCTATAAATTAGAATGAACGGTCGAGTGGAGTTACTTAATTATAACTGTTAGAGATTTAAAATAACGAGTTTGAGGAAAAAATATATATATATATATATTTATACGGATAATAGTGTGTCGTAGCGTCTCTGCTTTTATATATGAGAACCTTTCTAAATCAAATAAAAGAAAAATATGAAATAAATTCATCATTTCTTCAGGATATCACGCTGCAAGCACAAAAATATACTATTTTACGTACGAGTTGGTAGGCGATAAAAAATTTCACGTAAAACCTTTTATCGTATAAATAATTTCTCCATTTTAAACACCCAGGGCACTCGCACATTTTTACCAGTTGTCTACGCTTTTCGTTATTACTTCTCTATCTTTAAGTTTTTCGTGTAGTAGTTTTCTGTAATTTAGATAAAATACTGATGTAATACAAATTTCAGAATAAATATGTTTGAATTTTTATTAGTGTATTTATAAAAACATTTAAGGATTTATTGTAATCTATATAATTAATAAGAGACTAAGGAAAAATATTATTTCTAAAAATTATTTCAAAAGCATTCAAATTATCTTAATTGTGATAAAAAAAAAAAAATATAAAAAATCATTGAAACAAAGTTTCTTCAATCACAATTTTCAGTTGTCAGCTGTCACACAATGACTGCTAATTTTAATAACTTTAATTATAAACTTACCGGGTCCGTAAAATACCCTGCAGTGGTCAGGTTGTTTAAGAATTTTATCAAGCGTTTCAGCATCGACTATTTGTCCAGGCGATTGACACGTTCTTTCATTCATATTAATTGTTTCTGGAGGAAAATAATAAAAGCCGCTAGATTAATTGACAGTTTGGGTTTGTTAGAGCCAGTATAATGCAAAACACCGCACGGAAAGGAAATTAATAAATCTTGATAAATAAAGATCGATATCTTATGCTCGGAAAGACTACGGTGTAATGTTGGATAAACTAAACAGATGGCGAATACAAATACAATCCGTGTGAAAACCAAAGTTTAAACTTGGTACCTTGTTTTGTAGCAGCTGCCAATAAGTTCACGAGTTTGGCTTTCACGAGATCTCTCCTCAATCTTCCACCAGGACCGAGAAACTCAGCCCACGATTCGATGTCTACTCCACGAATACGAAGTCGCGCAAATCCCGGTAGTGCTGCATCTTCTTCTAAATTCACCACAGTTGCTATATTCATGTTCGTATCGATCATTGGGCTTGAGAGTGCATCCATCCGCAGTAGGTATTCGAACTTCAATTGCTGAAATTTTTAGTGGCAAGATAAATTACTTTACTTTGCTTTGCTTCTGAAAGTCTCGCAGTTGTAACCACTAATTAAAGTACATGGTAATGGTAGAAAATCATTATAAAAAAGCATTGGTCGAATGATGAGTGTTTTTATTATTTTCCTGATTAAGGCTCATATTGTCTGACTAATTTTTCCGTTTAATCACCACTTAAAAGTATAACTTTTTATAATTTTCTTCGATTATACTTTTTTCTATTGATATTAATCAAAAATACACTTATTAGAGTATTTGATTAAAAAATTAAGCTTTTTATAAATTTGCGTTCCAGGGGATTGACGCAAATTAACATTTAAATATCCAAATAAATTTTTTATTACTACTTTCAAATTTTCATCAAAAATTTCCTAGAAATTTTAGACACAATTTTTTATTATTTTTTCCGTACTAATCCACATCTGATATTAATTATTTTTCAAATTGCTTCTAGAGTACTATCAATTTCTTAAAGACAATTAATATACATAAAATACTGACACAAAAAAAAAACTAACTTGATTAAAAAGAAAAAATTTTTCAATAAGATTTTAATAGAATTTATTTAGACCACGAAAAATTCCTTAGTTCAAGAATTTTTCCAATTAAAACAAGACGACAAAGCTCTTCAAAATGGTTTTCTTGGTTCAAGAATTTTTCTCTTGAGTCAAGTTAATTTTTTTTCACCGCGGTATTTTATAAATACCTTTACTCGGCGCTTCTCATTCAAAGATACCAAAAACATGGAAGAAAATCTAGGATCTAATTTTCCCACAGCTGCCAGTAGACGCTGAATTAATCTTTCGACTGTTGCCTCAGTTTTCTTCATTTCTGAGAAAAAGAATTATACTTTTCTTATTATTCGATAATTCTGGTAAAAAAAAAAAAAAAATACGTCAATTATCGTATTTATTACTCAAATTTTTTCACGACAAAAGCTATGCTTTGCATTTTTTTTGTTTAATTTAAAAAGCGATACCAAAAAAGATTACCTTTATCGCTAATAGTTGATTCAATTGTTTTCCGGAAAAACCCATTGAGATTTTCCAACTGCTCGCATGTAAACGTAAGCTTTGTTGCGATCAAACGAGTTCCGCTGCCTTTGCCGGACGTTGCGCTTGTTGCGCAGCCCATATTAATTTTTATATCCGCTTAAAAAAAGTCACAACTAAACCTATGGAAAAATAAAACCAGTCAAATAGAAAAAATTTTTCACGTGTTTTTGTAAATATCTGCGACATACAAGATCAATAGAAGTGTCTCTATTTATCAATGTTTTAAAATATAAAATAAAGGTCAAAGGACGTGGAAATATCGATGTAAACAAAACCGAAATATTTCTTTACATAGGAAAAAATTTAATAAAAAGCTAAAACGACTGTAAATATCTTCAAAAGCAATCAAATTTATGCTTCAATAGATAGTCATTTTTAAAAATTTTTACGCTCTCTTCAAAGAAAAGCAAGCGATATTGAAACGTTCATATGTACTCGCATACGTAGTTACGTACCTGCAGTCGTAAAAATATATCGGTATTTATGTAATTAAATATTTTGTTATATTTATAAAAAAAATAGTACACATAGCTTTTCTTTACAGTATTTCGCCAATAAATTTTTTACCTAGACAAAAAGTATTGAATTAAACAATATGACATCCCAAAATAATTGAATTTTATTGGAATAATTTCTTTCATACGTAAATTTAACAAAAATCAATGCTTCAATACATATTCGCATATTTTAGATTTTTCTAACTAATTTACTGTATTTCATTGAAAAGCTATTGAATTTAATTAATTGAATACGCGTAGACTAAAGTTACAATTTTAAAGCAATCAAATAAATTCCAATTGAATAACTGAATGAATGAATGAAAAATTCTCCCTGTATTAAACTGAAAGACCTTCACAATATTGCGAATCGTTAAACGTAAAATAAATGTTGTGTCGTGAAAATTCAAAAGAATGGGCTTTTTCATTTGAATAAAAAGTTATTGTTTAACATCGATTCCAGCATTTATTAGTTATTTTTATTAGAACAATAACAATCACTGACAGCCATTTTCGGGCTAAGTGTTTTGTAATGTAGCATTCTAAAAGTTATTTACACCAGGGTAAAATTGATTATATTTACCAAAACATGAGTAACAATCATTAATCACAAGAGTAACACAAAAAAAAGGAAAAAAGATTATTTTCAACATATATATATCATTGCTTTAAAAGCCATCCCCTTTTTAGCAGCATTTTAGAGTTGAAATCAGAGCGCGAGTAATCCTCGCACTTAGCGGTGCTAATGATATTTTTTGTTGAATTTTTTCCTCGATATTCTGAAGCTAACCTATCTACCCTCATACATACTACAACCAACACTAGCACATTATCCTCTACTACAACTACGTACTAAAAATGCTAATAAAAAAGAAAAAAAACAGATCAACTCTTTTACTTTTATTACCTTCGATAATCTCACTAGGTTCTTGCCCTTCAATAAAAATATTTTACCTACACAATATCCATTTAAAAACGTCCCTGTGGACATGTTAAAAAAATTTCTTACATTTTCATATCATATACTTTATTCCATAACTTTACTATTATATTATATTAAAATGTTTTCTTTCTTTTTCGTGGCAAACTTCTGAGCCATTATATTATGCAAGTGTTCAAACTTCGATCCAGTGAAGTTTATAGTACTAACAAATGATCGGTTAGTAACTTAATTCTATTAAGTTACTATTATCTCTTCTATACTGATACCTGAGAAATGCACCATCTTGATCAAAGTTTTGAACATTATGTTATCAATACAACAGACAAACCTTCAGGGTAACTTTATCCATTTTTCTTATTCCTTAAATCGCTAATATCAAGCATGTTTTTATGATGAAGATTAATTGTTTAAAAAATCACTTATCAAAAAATCAAAATTTCATACTTTATTAACTAACTACCGAAGCTTATCATAAATTAACTAGTAATCATAATTAACTAGTTGACTATTAATGTAACCTAATTCATCATCAGTGTGAAAAGTTAGTTTTTTTTATTATTAATTGGAAATGTTGCTGCTTAGTAAAATTAAACTAAATAATTAATAAATATTGTACAATTATCACGGATAATTAATCCATTTAATTAAATGAGCCTCATGATTATGATGAGTGAGAAAAAAAAATTTCTTTTCAAAAAAATTAACATTGTTGTGACAAGAAATTAATTTTTGAGAAATTTTAAACAATTTTATTTCTTAGCCAGAGAAATTAAAAATTTTCTCACACTCAATTTCTTGTTGGAAAAAAGTTTTCTAAATTTGGAAAAAAAACAATTTTAGACAGACAACTTGAGAATTTTCATCCAAAATTTTTTTTCCCAAATCTAGAAAACTTTTTTTCAACAAGGAAGTTACTGTGAGAAAAATTTTAATTTCTTTGGCTTAGTAACAAAATTGTTGAACATTTCCAAGAAATTAATTTTTTGTCACAAAAATATTTTTCTCTCAATGTAAAAATAATTAGTAAAAAAAAAAAAAAAAAAAAAACCAAACAAACTTGTATAAAGTTCGAAAAATTTTCTACTAAAATACAAAGAACCCTATTTCACGCGACGATCTGACTCGCACCTTTAAAAGGTAACTTTTCTCTATTTAAAAGTTTTTCTCAAGCCGAATTTTATTTTCAATCGATTATTCTCGAATCCTTTATTTTTAACAGCTTTGAGCATTTATCTTCTCAATAGCAGAAGAAAACATAAATAACAGTAACTTTCTATCTCTTAGACATCAATGTAAATCCATTGGTATTTGTTTAAAAGAATAAAAAATAAAAACTCGGCCTATATAGTTTAGTTTAGTAGGTATAATGTTTTCGGAACTCCTCTTTCTCTACCCTCCTATCTCGATTTCTTTGTTCTCGTTTATCTCAACTATACCCCATTTTCCCTTTCTCACATATACATTTCTTCTAGGCACTCCTGGTGAATCCTCTTGGAAATCAATCTTCCAGGCTTAATACCCCTCTGGTGTGCCCGGGGTTTAATCACGACACCTCAGTTTCCTCATCCTCATTCTCATCCTCTTACTCTTACTCGCAGTCTACTCATGCATACATACATACATACATACATACATACATGTATATATTTGTAATACGCTGAATACATATATCGAGAAAACGAATGGTAGACAGAGCAGCTATATACATAAAACCCAAGCAAAGCACACCCCCAAACTCTTCTTCTCTCCTCCCTAACACTCTAAAACCTCTGAATTGAGGAATTTTCAAGAGAATGCACCAGATTCATTTTGTTGCACACTCACCTAACTAAATTCCGCGAATAACTTTTCCATCACTTTTTAAGTGTAAAACATCCTGTGTTTACCAAAGTTTTACGCTAATTTTATGTTTATTAATTTATTTAATTATTTGTATATGTCCAATTTTATGATTTTTTCAATTTATTTTGTGACTTTAAAAATAAAAAAAAATGTATTTTTGGCATTTATCTTCGAATAACTATTTTTTTTTTTTTTTAATTTGTTTAAAGTCGCATAAACTACTAAGGTCATGAGCGACTACGGTAGGGGGTAAACTTTTGAGATTGGAACTCGTTTGTATTTCTTGGGCTGAGCAGAATAATACACTTAAATATTGAAAATATTCATTGGTGTACGCCGGACTCGAACCCGGTCCAATGCTTTGGTAGCAAGGGCCGGATCCGATAGGCTACTGCGCGCCTTTGTATATTTATTATTATGTAATAAAATATTAATTTCATTATTACCTCCAATTGTACGAATATAAATAATATAAAGGTACAATTAAACAACACAATCAATTATTAAATTTAAACTGCTTGCAGCTAAATCATCGACACAAAAATAACCGGCGGTAATAATTTAATTAGTGGTGATGATGATGATAGTAATAATGACAATAATAGCAAAACTGTATACATAATAAATGATAATAATTCAATATTAATTTAATATCTCAATAAATAGACTCGGCGAAAAGTGAAACATATCTCGTTGTGACAGAACCGTAATGCACACTGAATCAATGTTATTCCATGAAGCATATATCCAAAGTAAATTTAAACTGCGTCCTTTATTATAAAATGCTAATGGTAAAATAACTGTCGTTTTTCGAATTACCTTTATTGAAAACTTTCAATGACAAAACTTTTTCATTTACCAGTCCCAAAAGTGTGGGTGCGAGTAAATGTGAGTAACTTTGTCCATGTATTTGCCGGAGGAAGAGAGAAAAGAACAATGAACAGCACAGTCCCTGGATACTGACTAAAATTACTTCCGATTCCGATTGTGTTGTTGATCCACTTCCGTTTCAGTAAATACTATATGTATATTGTCCGTGACACAGAACGTGGATTTAATGTTTGTGTTGATTGTAGTGTGACAATATTATACGAGCCGATATATTATGTTTACATATTTCGATCAGTAATATTCAAAGCTTTTAGTAAATTTATTCACATGAGATAAATTTTATCTATTAACTTTATGTATATTATGTCGAACAAATATTATTATTACATTATAATTGTTTATTATATTAATATTTATTTTACCATATCAGTAATTTCATTAGTTAATTGAATTCTCTCTCTCTCTCTCTCTCAGGATATGTAAATTGACAATTTCTGATACAGTGACCTTTAGTATTGTAAATAATCGTTTGGAAACTCATCAATTTTATGTCAGAAAAGTTATGAGAATTAATTAGGGGTGTGCGAATAATTCGAACTTACGAATTATTCGTTTCGAATCGAATAGTAATATTCGATTCAAAATTCGAATCGAATAATTCGAAAAAACTTACGAATTACGTCGAATTTCGATTAATTCAAAAACTCGAATTATTCGATTCGAATTTCAAATCGAATATCAATACTC